GATCATTTCCTTTGGATCACTAAGTAAGTTCAATCTCACAGAAGCAATTGGTAGAAATAGTATACAAACAATATATTATGTCCCAGGTAAAAATAATGGCAAAGCCGGATGACAGTTCCTCCGTTATATGTCCAACAAATGTTCAACAAATGGAAAGAACAAGGCCTTTGTCTTTTGGACCAGTCGGTCCAGGACAACAGTTCCTATAGATAGCCAGAAATTTTGGTAAACTGTCGTTTTCGGACACTATCTATTGAGTCATTAATCAAACCTTTTTTCCATTTTTTGGTGGATAATGCGACTGGGGTTAAAAGAAAACATGTTTTTTAGTTCACTAGGGAAATGGTCATGATCATAGTAACAATTGATAGCTGTAATTGGAGTGAAATTTTGGTTTCCGTATTTTTTAAACCATATGTCTAATCTTTACCAAACTTATGTTAAAACTGCCCCTTGAAATAAAACAGACACTAACTTATTTTGATTTCAGAAGGAAAAAGGGATTATAAGCAGATTAAAAATTTGGTGAAAATGTTTTCTGATAGTATCGACGATGCCATAAATAAGATCTTATCAATCTTTGGTGTATAAGATACCTTGGGATGAACAAGATCCTATTGATTTGAGGTCAGGTACTAAAAGCTCGAGGTCAAAACAGCAATTAACAGACTGAAATTCGTGGAAATTTTAGTTTTCAGGTAAATCATTTGAATCGTATAATCAAACATAACCGTAGTTCGCAATATTATTTCCTTTTGAAATAGAAACAGATGAGGCAAAGTTTTGAATAAAATTTTACCAGATATTATATCTTAACCAAACATGTATTGATAACGTTGAGGGTCATTACACAATTATAAAGGCTAACATTTGACAAACAAAAAAAAACGGAAATGTTCGTATCTAGACTTCGCGCGAATTTATATCCCATGTAAACATTTACCTTAATTACCTTCCAGTATTAGGATGACTCCCTTAAGAGATTCAGATATACAATCTAAAGTATATACATTTACATGATTACATGTGCAGTAACACCATATAACCGACCAAGAATCTCCATTGTTTTTTTAGTTTTTCGAAATGTTTATCATTTAATATACATTTAGGGAAGACGCAAAACATTTTTTCACTACTTATCCATAACTTGGTTTATGCACCAAAGGTGCTTCTGTAATTGTTTCATTTATTTTTCATCTTAAACAAAATGTAATTTCCTAAGGGTGTCAATGTACACTTTTGACTTCAAATTTTTCAGTTCTTTTTAATTTCTTATCAACACCAAGGTAACCACTTGTTGGACCATTTTTTTGGTCCCTTGAAGCTATGATGGAGTTTCATCGGGATCAAAGTAGTTACACTAGGTAATTACCTTTTAGAGAATATCTCTGCATGTTGTTTTTTTTATTTCACTTGATGTGCTCTTGAAAAGAATGCAAAATTAAGGTTCTTCGTGGGAATATATCCTGCAAGATTGGCTCCAATTGCTTCAGTTGTTCCTATATCTTTGAAAACATGCTCGGACCAATATAACCACTACTGGAGCCTTTGAAGCCATGTGGGACTTTTCATCAGGACCAACTCAACAACATTCTGGTCCTAATGAATATTCTACATGGTTCATTAAACTTAATCTGTTCTTGAAAAGAAAATCAAAATGTAATGTCTCATATGGTTTCAAAGTAAACCTTGTATACCTCCTACGGCAACTCTTTTGAATTTAATATCTGCATCAAAGAAACACCTGTTAATAATTTTCAAAAGAACATATCTGGTAAGTTTGGTAAAAACTGTTTCATATTGAAAATACCCGCCAGCTATATAGACAAACGCATGACATGGAACTGCAATCTATTCAACAAAGGCTGAAAAACATAGAAAAATCTTTATCACCACAACCATCTAGACCAGACTACCAGCCATATCATACAAGCCAGTTCATAATGCAGAATCCTATTCCTGATGGTCCTACCTACATGACAAGATTACCCACCGATCCTTATCAATGCAGACCAATGAATCCGAGCTGGCTAAGTTCACCACAACACATGACAGCTTAACATCAAAACCAGTGACATCCCCAAACAATCTAACATCACTAGATGGCACTAAACAATCAATTTACTAAAACCAAATAGCCACAAGAACTCAAAACAGAGCATAAGGATGACAACTCAACTGTGTGTGTTGAATAAATCACCATAGACGAAGTAAAGACATCCATCTCTGATAAAGATGATCCAAACATAGAAAGTAATCAAATACCACAGGAAGTTATTACGCCCAACTCCAATACTGAGAATTGTCCAACAAATCAGTCAAATACTACAGGAAGTAATTAAGCCCAACTCCAATACTGAGGGGTGTCCAACAAATCAGCCAACTACCACAGGAAGTAATTACGCCCAACTCCAATACTGAGGGGTGTCCAACAAATCAGCCAAATACCACAGGAAGTTATTACGCCCAACTCCAATACTGAGGGTTGTCCAACAAATCAGCCAAATACCACAGGAAGTTATTACGCCCAACTCCAATACTGAGGGTTGTCCAACAAATCAGCCAAATACCACAGGAAGTAATTACGCCCAACTCCAATACTGAGGGGTGTCCAACAAATCAGCCAAATACCACAGGAAGTTATTACGCCCAACTCCAATACTGAGGGTTGTCCAACAAATCAATCAAATACCACAGGAAGTTATTACGCCCAACTCCAACTCCAATACTGAGGGTTGTCCAACAAATCAGCCAAATACCACAGGAAGTTATTACGCCCAACTCCAATACTGAGGGGTGTCCAACAAATCAGTCAAATACCACTTGAAGTTATTACGCACAACTCCAATACTGAGGGTTGTCCAACAAATCAGTAAAATTCCACAGGAAGTTATTACGCCCAACTCCAATATTGAGGGGTGTCCAACAAATCAGTCAAATGCCACAGGAAGTTATTACGCCCAACTCCAATACTGAGGGGTGTCCAACAAATCAGTCAAATACCACAGGAAGTTATTACGTCCAACTCCAATATTGAGGGGTGTCCAACAAATCAGTCAAATACCACAGGAAGTAATTACGCCCAACTCAAATACTGAGGGGTGTCCAACAAATCAGTCAAATACCACAGGAAGTTATTACGCCCAACTCCAATACTGAGGGGTATCCAACAAATCAGTCAAATTTTGTTTTAGGACATTGCCAGAACATCCAGATGATTACATAGTAAATGATACAACACTACTAAAAATAGCCCCCTTTAATCGTAAAAATGTATACAATTTGCAAGCTTGTATAAAAGACATTTTAGATTTTAGTGATTATATATGTATTCAGGAACATTGGTTGTTCAAAATTTGAACAGGATAACATTGGAGAGCTCTTCAATGAAACATCTTTGGCATGCAAGTCAGTTGATGAAAACAACTTTATACTACCAACACAAACACCGAGATGGTATGGTCGAGTGGCTGTACTATGGAAACAACATCTAGACCATTTTGTAGAGAAAGTTTATGATGACTCCGAGATTATGGTATGCATTAAACTAAATGTAAAGCCAAAGCTAATTCTGTTAATCAGTATTTATATGCCATGCTGAGGGTCAAAACAGGCAAATGAACATTTCAAAGAATGTCTAGACCAGTTTCAGGAAATAATAGTCAAATACTTTGATACATGTACCCCTGTCCTGTGTGAAGACTGGAATTGTGATCTGATAAAAACAACAAATAAATCAGCACGATTAAATGGGAAGGAAGACATTATAAAATCTAAGAAGCTAATGTTTAAAGCAACCGTGTTAACGTTCTTTCATCTAAATGGCAAGGAAACATCAACAATTGATTATACCTTTGAACATGACAGCCTGGCTGACAAAGTCTACAACACTATAATACAGGATATGTTATGTACATGACAGCCTGGCTGACAAAGTCTACAACACTATAATACAGGATATGTTATGTACATGACAGCCTGGCTGACAAAGTCTACAACACTATAATACAGGATATGTTATGTACATGACAGCCTGGCTGACAAAGTCTACAACACTATAATACAGGATATGTTATGTACATGACAGACTGGCTGACAAAGTCTACAACACTATAATACAGGATATGTTATGTACATGACAGCCTGGCTGACAAAGTCTACAACACTATAATACAGGATATGTTATGTACATGACAGCCTGGCTGACAAAGTCTACAACACTATAATACAGGATATGTTATGTACATGACAGACTGGCTGACAAAGTCTACAACACTATAATACAGGATATGTTATGTACATGACAGCCTGGCTGACAGTCTACAACACTATAATACAGGATATGTTATTAAACAACACATCTGATCACTATCAACTGTTTATGGAAACTGAAATAGAGATTGTAACTAAGAAAGGGCAGGACTAAACTTTAAATATTTTACAATATCAGGAAAGTTTAACAAAAAACCTCAAGAAAAATCCATTTGACTATATAAACAATTCAACTGCAATAACCAACCAAACTAACGGATGCCCTATTAGCAGCTCAAAAAGCATAGTACCATCAACCAAAATATCAACACAACGAAACAAACATATTTGGAATAATTGAACAGAACATTCTTCTTATGTTGTGCTGTCACACTACTGTCCCAAGTTGGTTCTCTTGTTTGAATTGTTTCACATTTTGTCATGCCAGAGCCTTTTATTAATTAACTATACTGTATAGGTTTAACTCATTATTGAAGGCCCTACATATACCTTTAATTGCTTTCATTCACATCATTTGGTCTCTTGTGGATAGTTGTCTCATTGGCAATCATACATTTGTACCTCATCTCCTCGTTCTCATATGATTATCCTTTCCTATTGACAAAAATAAAATTGAGAAAAAAGTGGCCATGTTATATTGACATCAATTTTCTTGACTATACCTAGCTAATGCCTTATGTTTAGTTCATTTGATATTCTCTTATTTTTACTTGCAAACAAAAAACTCCATAATTACAATTTTGTTTATTATTATTATTGAATCACAACATATCGGGTATCTCTATATCTGTAAATCCATAAAATGCTATATCTCCATTATCCACCACTGCCCACTGTATAGGTATACCATCTGTGTAGTAGTGATGGAGACTTGTTAATGTCTGTAAATCTGGCAATGGTTCACTATGTCTGGAAATATAACAACAGATCTTTCAATTACCTCATAAATATAACGATATAACAATGGCTTCATAATCATAATAGATCTATTGATGGTATCAAAAACAATACAATTCTAAAATTTATCTTATAAATATATTAGTTTGTGAAAAAACCTTAAACCTTAGACCACATCGTCTATGATGTGGAAGACCAATCCTCGACTTGATTTAATCTTTACCTTAGAACATGTAGAACAGAGAGCCTAGGAAGTGTAAGACCAGGTCTTGATTTAATCTTTACCTTAGAACAGAGAGCCTATGATGTGGAAGACCAGGTCTTGATTTAATCTTTACCTTAGAACAGAGAGCCTAGGATGTGGAAAACCAGGTCTTGATTTAATCTTTACCTTAGAACACAGAGCCTATGATGTGGAAGACCAGGACTTGATTTAATCTTTACCTTAGAACACAGAGCCTATCATGTGGAAGACCAGGACTTGATTTAATCTTTACCTTCGACTAGAGAGCCTATGATGTGAAGACCAGGACTTGATTTAATCTTTACCTCAGAACATAGGACCTATGATGTGGAAGACCAGGACTTGATTTAATCCTTACCTTAGAACAGAGTGTCTCTGATGTGGAAGACCAGGAATTGATTTAATCTTTACCTTAGTACACAGAGCCCATGATGTGGAAGACCAGGACTTGATTTAATCTTTACCTTAGAACATAGAGCCTATGATGTGGAAGACCAGGACTTGATTTAATCTTTACCTTCGACTAGAGAGCCTATCATGTGAAGACCAGGACTTGATCTAATCTTTACCTTAGAACATAGAGCCTATGGTGTGGAAGACAAGGTCTTGATTTAATCTTTACCTTAGAACAGAGAGCCTAGGATGTGGAAAACCAGGTCTTGATTTAATCTTTACCTTAGAACACAGAGCCTATGATGTGGAAGACCAGGACTTGATTTAATCTTTACCTTAGAACACAGAGCCTATCATGTGGAAGACCAGGACTTGATTTAATCTTTACCTTCGACTAGAGAGCCTATGATGTGAAGACCAGGACTTGATTTAATCTTTACCTCAGAACATAGGACCTATGATGTGGAAGACCAGGACTTGATTTAATCCTTACCTTAGAACAGAGTGTCTCTGATGTGGAAGACCAGGAATTGATTTAATCTTTACCTTAGTACACAGAGCCCATGATGTGGAAGACCAGGACTTGATTTAATCTTTACCTTAGAACATAGAGCCTATGATGTGGAAGACCAGGACTTGATTTAATCTTTACCTTCGACTAGAGAGCCTATCATGTGAAGACCAGGACTTGATCTAATCTTTACCTAAGAACATAGAGCCTATGGTGTGGAAGACAAGGACTTGATTTAATCTTTACGTTAGAATGCATAGCCTATGATGTGGAGGACCAGGACTTGATTTAATCTTTACCTTAAAACACAGAGCCTATCATGTGAAGACCAGGACTTGATTTAATCTTTACCTTAAAACACAGAGCCTATGATGTGGAAGACCAGGACTTGATTTAATCTTTACCTTAGAACATAGAGCCTATGATGTGGAAGACCAGGACTTGATTTTATCTTTACCTTAGAACACAGAGCCTATCATCTGAAGACCAGGACTTGATTTAATCTTTACCTTAAAACACAGAGCCTATGATGTGGAAGACAAGGACTTGATTTAATCTTTAACTTAGAACATAGAGCCTATGATGTGGAAGACCAGGACTTGATTTAATCCTTTCCTAAGAACACAGAGCCTTTGATATGGAAGACCAGGACTTGATTTAATCTTTACCTTAGAACATAGAGCCTATGATGTGGAAGACCAGGACTTGATTTAATCTTTACCTTAGAACACATAGCCTATGATGTGGAAGACCAGGACTTGATTTAATCCTTACCTTAGAACACATAGCCTATGATGTGGAAGACCAGGTCTTGGTTTAATCTTTACCTTAGAACACATAGCCTATCATGTGGAAGACCAGGACTTGATTTAATCTTTACCTTAGAACACAGAGCCTATCATGTGGAAGACCAGGACTTGATTTAATCTTTACCTTAGAAAACAGAGCCTATGATGTGGAAAACAAGATCTTAATTTAATCCTTACCTTAAACCACATAGCCTATGATGTGGAAAACAAGGTCTTGATTTAATCCTTACCTTAGAACATAGAGCCTATGATGTGGAAGACCAGGACTTGATTTAATCTTTACCTTAGAACACAGAGCCTATGATGTGGAAAACAAGGTCTTGATTTAATCAGACCAGGTCTTGATTTAATCAGACCAGGTCTTGATTTAATCTTTACCTTAGAACATAGAGCCTATGATGTGGAAAACAAGGTCTGGATTTAATCCTTACCTTAAAACACAGAGCCTATGATGTGGAAGACCAGGACTTGACTTTTTGAATTTAGCATCAGGGAGATAGACATCATATATTACTTTGTGCTGCAAATCTTTCAAACTTGATGACCTAAAATAGCAATTGTATAATTGAAAATAATCTCTTTTAATTTGTGAATCACATTGGAACATTAATTAATATCCTGCCTCCAGAAACATACAGAACAAATGATACAATATCATTTAAAATATATCAGAATTTGGTAGAACAGATTGCAATATTACTAAGATCAAGTTTTAAGTTAGTGCTTTTGATCTTGAAATTACATTAAATCCTAAAATGTGTATCATTTATACATAATAAAATATAGAATACATTTAATTATCTATAAATTTAAAGTGACCAATTAAGCAAACAAATGACAATCAAAATTAAAAATTATAATTACAGAGATTTATAATTGATTAAATGTTTGATTTGACAATTACTCCTCACTTCAGGCAAAGGTATGTATAATAGTGGAAACAATAAACTCAGTTCTATCTTTGTATGTCTATGACTAACTTAATGCACAGAATAGGAATCAGTGACTGATACCTCATACAATAGAATCAGTGACTGATACCTCATACAATTAAATAGAATCAGTGACTGATACCTCATACAATTAAATAGAATCAGTGACTGATACCTCATACAATTAAATAGAATCATTGAATGATACCTCATTGACTGATACCTCATACAATTAAATAGAATCAGTGACTGATACCTCATACAATTAAATAGAATCATTGAATGATACCTCATTAACTGATACCTCATACAATTAAATAGAATCAGTGACTGATACCTCATACAATTAAATAGAATCAGTGACTGATACCTCATACAATTAAATAGAATCATTGAATGATACCTCATTGACTGATACCTCATACAATTAAATAGAATCAGTGACTGATACCTCATACAATTAAATAGAATCATTGAATGATACCTCATTAACTGATACCTCATACAATTAAATAGAATCAGTGACTGATACCTCATACAATTAAATAGAATCATTGACTGATACCTCATACAATTAAATAGAATCAGTGACTGATACCTCATACAGTTAAATAGAATCAGTTACTTATACCTCATACAATTAAACAGACAAACTATATCTTATGGGTAAATCTGTGAGTCCCAAGGAAGATGTGTGTCATCTGACATCTCCAAATATTACAAAAAGAAATGGGGACATCCATGTTTTTGTATAGAAACACTTGAAAATCACTGAGATCAAAATTAAAATTAGAAGTGCACTTCATTACCTGTAGAAAAACTGGGCAAGATTGGTGGAATTCTGTCAAGCCTCTTGTTAAGGTGTTGCAGATTAACCAAGCCAGATAAGCTAAATGATCTGGTCAATGTTTTGGTATGGGAAACTGTCAAAATCACACAGATAAAAAAATAAAATAAAAGATGCACAACTTCATTCCCTGTGGAATAATCTGTCAGTGTATTTCCAATGAGTTTAGGATTAGCAAAGTTTGATGCATCAATGACAAAGCAAGACGACAGAAATGATCCATATGACACAATACTTACATATGTGATGTAAATGATAAATTCTTCACAACTTGTAACTTCTCAATGACTGAATCTGAAAAGTATACCAATCAAAATTCTATATAAGCAAAGATAATTCCTTACATAATTTAAAAAAAATGAAGTAAATTATAGAACCTACAAAATATATGGCATAATATGTTGTTATCTTAAACTAACTGAATACCCACTGAAATTATGTAAAGTTTTTAATTATATTGTAAGATGTACAATTTAAAAGATTATTACAGAGACTATATTTATGAATACCAACCTAAACTAGAAGAATAACATGGTTTTACTAATGGAGTTACGTCCCCTTTCCACAAATGTGACACAGGTGTAGCTTCCTCCTGATTTTCTTTGTACTCTTTCCAGTTTTTGGCTGTGACTGGTTTCTTTTTCCAATGTGAGGGTTCAAAAGAATATTCTAAGTTAAAATTTTCTTCGTCTTTCTTATGTTTATTTGAAGTCAAATTAAGATTATATTGTTCTGAATCAAAAATACAATTATCTTGTAACTGAATACCATGTGGAAATAACTGCTGATTTTTGTTGTATTTTTTAAAATGTAGAACCTTGTCTTTTCCTATATCTGGAAATATTATCTCAGAAAAATTCCAATCAATAGGTTGATTTGTAGAAATTGTTTTCACAGAGGTCCAAGATGGCTGTGCAAAACTGACACTTATGTCTGAATCTAAACATTTCTGTCTTGATTTCATTTTGTAAGAGATATAGCTCACATGGGAATTCCCAACAGCCTCACATAAACCTGTATTACTTTCCTGAGACACACTATCAGAAATTAACCTGGTATATTTTGCTTCTTTATTTGTTTCAATTCCTTCTTTGTTTATTCGTTCGGTTTGATCCGTAGAATCATTATTTATGTCCATTTCATCACGAAGATCTCCTGCTTTTTTGTTCTGTCCACCCTCAGTTGGACTGGTTCCCTGAACCAATTCCATAAAACTAGTTTGTTCAATTGACTCAACTATACTGGTTTCTTCAACTACTTCCATATCACCAGTTTCCTCTTGAACTGAATTGCTTAGTTTGATTTTCTTTATTTCATTACTTTCATTTTCTTTTCTATTTTTTCTTTTCTTATCTTTCCTTCTATCTGCTTTCAAATGCTGGTCAAGTTTGATTTTCTTTTCATATTCAGTAACATTCAACCTAATGGAGCAAAGAAAAACAAAAAATGTACTAATATCTTTCTATGATTTTTCTATATATGGCCTTTAAGAAATGAGGTCAATAATCCATAATATAAAACTACTTTTAGAATTTTTGTAATAATTTCTTTTCTGATCACCAGGCTGAACTTGAGTATGATCAAATTTTAAAGGTCCTTACAACTGAAATCTTTTGGGGAATAAATTGCCTCCATTAAAGACGCAACTAATGATGATGGTACACCTTGTCCTTCCCAAACTAATGCAACTTGTCATACTTGTGGAGGGATATAAATATTGCATGAAATCTGGGCCACATGTTCAGAACCAATGTAATAAATTTGTTCATTCAGCACTTTGTAGTCCCATGTAGTCAAAATCACTAAATGATCATTCATATTTTTTTTTAATTTTTAGTTTAAATTGCATAGCATGAATCAAGCTAAGAATTCCCTAGATGTATAATGACAGCTTTGTACAAAACTACTATTATAATTTTTATGATATAACATTAACATTTTACCTTCCCTGATGTCTAACAAGTACATATCCCAATCTTCTTAGATGTGTGTAGACTTGGTACTGTTCTAATGTAACCTCAATACTGAAGAAACATTGGTATGCCTGCTGTATACTCAATGGTAATCCTTTATACTTTACTTCCATTGTATTCTGAAAGAACAGATTATAAAATGCAAAACATTTTCCATACTGACCACTGTATCAGAAAGAGATATTACAAAATACATGACATTTTCTATTTATATTATAAACTTACTGTTTCCATCAGAAATAGTGCTTCCTCTGGGTAAAGCCATTTTCTGCTTTTATCTACAAAACCCATGTACACCCAGAATTTACCCTGAAAATAAAAATGCAAATCTTTTTTTGGAATAGTAATGAAATTGGTTATTTAAAACTGGTTGAATTGGTTATTTACAAGGTTATGGTTTTCTCAGATTGTTTATGACATCTTTACAATAATTCACTGGATGAGTATTGATTGCTATTTTGTTAGTCAGTGAAATCATGATTTATCTACTTGCTGTAATTAGCTTTGGACTAGCTTGTAGTAACTGCAAGTACTCTTATAAAGATATGTTGAGGTTTCTTTTTTTTTTTTTTTTTTTTTTTAAGTTGCTTTTTTGAGCTTCTTGCTGATCAATATAGAAAAGTTTACATTATTATGGCTCTTTGGAAATAATATCATTTCATATAACCTCATCTAACAGGATATCTTTGGATTTTTTTTGTATTGTTTGGTTGCTGTCTCATTGAACATGTTGAAGTATACCCTTCATTCCTAGTAATCATCTTACCAATTCTTTGTGAAGTTGAACCAACTTTTTCTCAGGATCCCAGTCTCCAGTTACTAAGTTACCGCTGTAAAAAGTAAAATCAATAAATATTACAGTATTTGCTAAATCTGACATTGTTTTGTTTATTTTATCCTATTTTTACATAGCTACGTGTTAATCATTATTATTTCCATAATGTATTTGTCAGAACAGAGCAGAAGTATTCCAAAGTTTTGAGATTACTCTTGTACCGGTATTCGTATCCTTATACTTTTTGTAATCATATAGTCTATTTTTGCAATAAAACTTCAGAACTTTTTGGTCATTATAATTGATAAATCATAAATCACAAACTGTAGAGTTAACGTTACATCTAATGTCGGAGCACATGAGAACACCCTTGGTTTTTGGTGGGGTTCTTTTTGCTCAGTTTTCTATGTTGTGTTTTGTTTACTTTTGTTTGTCCTTTGGTCTTTTTCTTTTTTTTTTGCCATGGCTTTGTCAGTTTATTTTCGACTTATGAGTTTGAATGTCCATTGGTATCTTTCACCTTCCCTTTATGAAATATAAAAAAGAGTATGTTGTACAGTACAACAGACCACATCAAATTCCAACACCAAACTCCACATATGTATACAACAGTCTATCAAAAGTTAGTAATCATCTAATTTCAAATCAAAGTTTTGTACATTCCAGCCAATTTACTTAATGTAAAGAACACCAAGTTCTATGAAATTCTTATATTTTGATAGGATTACACAGGGAAAAGGCAGATTGATATTTTTGTATATCTTGTATTTCTGATCATTTGTGCTGGTTACAGTTTTTACTTTTCTATCATAGATTTTGAGATGCTAGACAAAAAATTGAAAATTTGTAAAAATTGTCATTGAAGTGCAATATCTCCTCTAAGGAATCATCCAATTATAGTGGTTATACTGACATTTTTGTAGATTGCTGATAATTTTGACTCTGATGTATCTATATTCCTCCAGACATTGATAGTGAGAATATTTTGATAATTTTTACGGATGTTTCCCAATTTGTGGCGGTGTATATAAAGTTTGTAGGAGTTTCTTCTTCTTTTTCATCTTTGTCACTGCTAATGTATAGGTCAGCTGCTAAATCTATTGTGTCAGTAGTTTCCTTGATATCTGCTTGTGCAATTATCTGAAAAACTGGCAGTTTTGTCCAGTCGATTTTTTTCTGGTTGCCTCTATTGGGGGTTTCCATTCTCTTACTTTTTTGGCTAATTCACGCAGAGTTTTTTCCTCTATTATTATTCCTTTTGTGTTAAATGTGTCTATTTGCGGAATCACCCCTAATGAATTTCTTGTTGCACCATGTACAAATGTATTGTCACAATTTGTGTTACTGACGGGATGTGAACCGAGGTATAATGCCTGCGAAGGCTCCCTACATTGCTGTATTTCTTGTTGCATCTTGTGCAGTTGAGTGAAATTGGGTTATGTGGTTTACATGGTGTAGTCTTTGTTTTTGCTATTTTAATTCCTTAGATGGTGATTGCATATTGAGATGATGAAAGTATGCTTCCACTGTTCTCAATCTGTTGTTTACGTTGGCTGCCATTGTTCTTATGCCAGTGATTTTAACGTCACCAGGATTGAGGTTTACAGTGGTGAAATGTTTCAAATCTGGTTTGTATTAATTATTGTTTTTTATATATCCTGCATGTGTCCATAGGATTGTTCGCACATTGTGTTTCCTGTCTGGCCAATTTACTGTTTTTTACAATTCTCGCAGGTGATAAAATGTAAATTGTACTTTTAGTCAGGCAAGTGATGTTTTCTTTAATTTTTATTGTTTTATTATTTGAATTGCTGGTGATGTGAGTGGTTGTTTTCATCATTGTGAAGATGTGGCAGGGCTGGTTCCACATGTTTTGGGTGGTTCTATGTCTGTGCTGACTAACAACTGGCGTAGGCTGGTGGTTCTGCGTGTGGTTGCTTGAAAGTTCATGCGGGACATGTTATATGTTTCTGGTGACCGTTCAAGTATTTCTCTAATTTTTGTGATGATTTCTCTTATGGGTGGGTTGTTTGGATTGTGTGTGATAATAAATTGTATATTTTCTTCTTGCGGTTTGTTTTTTGGAGAAAAAAAAGTTCTTTACGATCTTTTTCACTCGATTTTTTTATTGCCTTATCTAATATTTCTGCGAGATAACCGCTTTTGAGGAAATTCTCCTTCATACCTTGTGCGTGCTTAAGAAAATCATTTAATGGGCTGTAGCTGCATCAAATGCTTATGGCTTGGCTGTATGGTATACTTATTTTCTGTGATTGCGGGTGGATGAATGGTAATGGAGGTACATGTTTGCGTCTGTTGGTTTTTGTACAAGGTGGTGGTTAGATTTCCCTTTTCATCTATCATTATGCTCGTGTCTAAAAACAGTATCGATGTCTCGCTAAATTCAACTGTAAATTTGATTGAGTGGTGAAATTTTTTAAGGTCCGACATGAAAGCATTTAATGCTTTGCGACTGTGGGGCCAAATCATCAAGATATTGTCAATGTATCTAAACCACACTAGTGGTTTACGTTGTTGTGTATTTAAGAAATTCTGTTTGAGTTTATCCATAAAAAGTATCGCGTATTCCGGAGCCATTTTGGTGCCCATGCTCATTCCTCCTATTTGTAAGTAGTGTTTTTTTCAATTCTAAAACAGTTACATGTTAAAATGAAGTGTATCCATCTGAGTATGATCTAAGTTGGTATATAATTAGTTTATTATAAAATATCAAACAGCCATAATTTGGTTCTTAAATGGATCTATTTCAAAAGCCTTACTACCAGGTTAAACAAATGTCTTCATTGGAGTGCATTCTAGGCTTCAAAGTCAGCACATTTTGGATATATAGTCAAAAAACGATGATTTTTGATCATTTTTCAGACCTAAAAGCTTAAGGAAACCCTTGGCTGCAACCTAGGATCCAAAATGTTATGTAGCCAAAAGTTTACAATGATGATATTGAATCCCTAGACACAAACACTCTCTGGATCAGGGGTGGCAGAAGTAGATTATGTTAAAAACTGTTAAGAGTTATTGAAAATTTTACCAAAACTGACGTTACAACACAAATAATGCAACTTGAGGGGTCATTTTTTCATCATTTTTAATGTGATGTACCAAATAGAAGCTATTTTGTACTAAAAGTTATATCACAACTATTTCTTTGTGAAATATTTAGTATTTTGGCCTGATTTAAATAAAACATCAAATTCTGAGGGCCAATATAAACCTTTGTGACTTACTCCTTTATAGTTAACCAAACTTGGCACATTTTATTTCATAGTCAATTTGTGATATAGAGGCATGCTGCTCTCTGTCTGTTTGCTCCTTTCCCTGTATAAATAATTTAATTTGTAAGATATTAGTTGTAATTAAACAGATATATAATGTTTTAAAGGGATTTTTTTTTAAATACCAGTAAAGACCAAATCTCCCTCACCTATCAGCTCTGAAAAATTTAAGGTCTCTTAACTGGTATTGTTCACAATTATTCCTCAAACACATTATTTTTCTGTTCAATATTTTACACCTTGCTTACACTTGGTATAAATTAAGCTATTTACAAATTTAATGCCTACCCATGTTAAAATGAGCATAGAGCAAAACCTGAACAAATTGTATCTTAATTATAGAATACCGTACTATATTTAGCATCCTGTTTTTAAAGTAAAATAATAAAGAAACATAACAAAATTATCTTCCTTCACAAATTTGGTTTAGAGATCCATTATTTCAATTCAACATTTTAAAGTCTATTATGATTAACCATTTAGTTTTTCTCCTGAAGGAAATCCTGTTTTTTGTGAAACCTTCTTTGAACAAATCAAATTTGTTTCCCCCACAATATATTTGATCGGATTGCTGATCAATTTGAAATCATAGATATGAAAAATGTTATTTAAGACCTTTAAAATGTTAAATTCAAATTATTCCGTTTTTTTTTGTTTTCCTTTTTCCAAACAAAATTTCAATCAATTAACCCACAAGTTTTCATTTAATACACTTTGATGATTTAAAACTTTTGTCTGACTGTATATCATACAGAATGCATTCAGTGTGGTATATATTTCATTTTTGTTATATTTTTATGTAACATTGACACGTCTAATTTTTATGAAACTATAGTAACCAATCTATTATGTAACATTATTTGTGTTTCTTAACTTACCATCTTTCTACTCGTTGTTCAGAAAGCAGTTCTAGTCTCTCTTCATAAAACTTCTCTAATTTTTTTGTCTGAAGCCAACTACCATCAGGTTCAAAATCCTTACTGCCACCAACAGTTGGTACAAATTTATCTGTCTGTTTTCTGTATTTGAATAATTCAGGTGCACTAAAAAAAAACCATAATAATCCATTGGTAAAATATATCTATACTTTTTCAGTTTATCATTTTTCAAACTTCTATATTAACATAGGGGGAGGTGATATATATACATTGTATGTCAATTAAACAGAAACCAAATGACGTCTATAGGTCAACATAATAAATAAAAAATAAAAGAAGAATGTGTCTGAGGATACGAATGCCCCACTCAAACTTGCTTATAATATGTGAAAATACTTTTGGGACGGTCAGTCAAGGGTAACACTTAATGCGCCCTTTGCCTAGCGGCAAGGGCATAAAAAAGCATTCTCAACTTGGGACAAGCACATGAACATATGTGGGGGGGGGGGGGGGATGAAATAGTTTTATGAGATCTCAATCCTCTACCTTTTAAACTTGATCAATGGAATAAAAGAGACTGTCAAAATGACAGCAAACCAGGTTTTACAACACTTATTAGATTCATTGTTAAAGCATAAAAGGACCATAACTCCTGAATGGCCAGAGTGAAATTTGTCAATATTAAACTTGACCCATATTTTGTCATCAGTCAACAATTTGAAAAGCAATGGTTGAATGGATCTCAACTTATTGCACAGAAACAACATAAAGTGTTATTTTCATATCAATCAAGGACCATAACTCATGAAGCCAATTTGTACATGAATACATTGTATCTGTTTACCAATGTAAGGGGAATGGATTTTTTTTTATTTACATGTTTTAAATACATGTACAGTTGGAACAATATCTCAAATAAAGAAAGTAAATTTATCAATCAATAGAGTTATGTGGGTTTGCCGGTCCACTTCGGATAGGACTAACCAGGACACCCTCGTTCTGATGATGGCCTGGCCCATGCTGAACGGAAAATTGTGACATCAGACTTTTAACAGGAATTCAGTTGGAGGATAAGACAGAAATTATTGTCCGTAACTCTATTGAATGATAAATTCACTTTCTTAAGGATGGATATTGTTCTAACAGTCTAACAGTATATTTTAAAACATGCAAATAACTTGTAAAATTGATAGCTACCGTTTATTAATATAATTTTATTGTCATAGAATAAAATATATGAGCTTGAAATGCATTTCTTCTTAATCTACATGATATTCCCTGAACTCAGGAAAATCTATTCCATGCAGTTACACCAAAAATAATAATAACAACAAAACAATGAAAATAAATCTGGTGTCATTTAACAGACTTGAATCTTGTGCAGTTTATCCCTGCCTCGTATTACAATTGTTGATTGACACAAGATACCATGATAAATATTTGTTGAAACCTGTAAGTTGACTTATTCATTAAGTTGCATACATGTACATCCACGTCATTTGGACTAATGCAGATAGAATAATGTCTCACAGGCATTAATACCACATCTCCTTATTTTTATATGTATGAGTGAACTATTGATTGTTGGTGTTCAATGATACTTTTTCAGCGTATATTTGTTCCACCTAACAGAAGTTCCACTGGAAACTTTGTTATAAACAATGTCATAATATCTGTTCCTGATCAGTCAGGGGACTTACTTAAATGAGTGATTTTCTAAATCACTGATTCAAGTAACATTATGTCCATAAAGGTTGGAAGTAAGAGTTGTCTTTCTTTAATAATCACCTATTTAAGTAGTACAAATTAATCACTAGACTAAGTAATTTAATTTTATTGCAGCTTTACATATAGAATACTAATGATCCAGGGACTAATTATGTTGCTAAAATTATCAGAACTAACATCTGTGTTGATAGGATGACCGGGTCATGTCAGGTGATGACCTTGTACTAAATCTAGGATAATGACATAAAAATCACTTGTTTAAGTATCATACCTCAATTTTTTTCCAAAAAATCACTTCTTTAAGTATCATTATTTTAATAACCCCCACTATTTTCAACACCCCCGAACAGTGAAATTTTGATGGCGAACAGTAGAATTTTATTACATAATCTATAAGATGAAACCTTGAATTTTACAGGAAAAATACTCCCACTGCTGGGAAAAATTTGTTAAGAAAGTATCCTTTCATTATGTAAAGCCATTTTTATAGCATTTTTTCAACTAAAATAGAATTTGCAGCTAAATGATTGCATCAAAGGCATAAACCTTGCTGCTTAAAAGAAGCAAAAAGTTCTTTTTTTTCAATTTTACTAATGAAAAGATATTATCTAAACCAATATGTGTTTAAAATTTTGGAAAAACTACAAAATCACAATTTGTGACAAAACTTCGAATTTGATACTTATATAAGTGATTTAAAAATCACTTATTTCAATAAGTCCCCTGACTGCTGAAGGAACAAATATTCTATACCATTTATTCCGTTAGGAACATATATTGTAATATTTATTCCAGTGGAAATAATATTCCAGAATATTTATTCCATTTGGAACTAATATAATGTAGGAACTTCTATTTCGTGACACTTTCACCACTTTTGGCTATATCGTGGCGGTCAGTTTTTATAAGCTGAGGAAGCTGGAGTGCCCAGAGAGAACCACTGACTTTTGGCAGAAAAACTTACAATCCCAGTCAATTAAGATTCTAGTCAAACGCACCTGCCACCTGCAGGGGTTCAACTCACCACCTCAGTGTTGATGGGCTTCTAATACATAGGATGAACTACTTAGAAAACTATGCAACCAAGTCCAAATGGATGAACAAACTCAGTTGGCAAATCGGGAATGCAGTACTGCAGCTAGATGAACACCCAATAATTTCATTGAAAGTTTTAGGACAAGATTGTGACATCAATGTCACAATGACAACATACTGAAGTACTGTATTGCATATCATTCTTCATTACTTCAATATTGATATTAGCTAAATTTTACTAAAAGCACCTGACACTCGATTAGTTGTCAAAAAAGCTTAATTTTCTATTTTTTCTTGAGGTTTTCTATGTCGTTGCAAACCTGATCAGAACTTCACAGTTGTAAAGATTTGATTTTGTACGTGCAGTATTTTTTTCCATCCTTGCATGGTTTGTCATCTGCTACATGTGTGCAGGGGTTTTCTACCGGAAAAAAAGTAAAGCCCAGAGACGTTCTGAACAGAAATTATTAAAAATCAATTGAGTGTTTTAGTAGGGGGCAATTTCTATAATTAAAGTATAGTCGGTGTGAAAAAGACTCTTTACACATGCGCATTGTTTATCATGGAGGAATGTAAACTAATCCAAACAACTTGTTTCTATCCCTAAGAGAAAAAAGAGTCTTTTCCCAATCAAACATAATGGATCGTATGTAAATCTTACATGAAAGACTTCTTTTGCAATTAATACATCGAATTCATTGCAAAGCCAAACTGAAATAATAGAAATCATCAGATCTTCTTTTAAAATATGTTTTCTTCACTAAATCAAATGTCAAAGCTGAACAAACTTGACTGTTATCTCATACTGGTGTCACACCAACTGACATTCTAACTTTGCTTGCTTGACAGGAAACAATATGGAATAACAAAACACAAAGGAAAAATGATTGTTGTATGACATCATCAGTTGAAGTGTTTCAACTTCTCAGGGTCAAGTGTCGTATATTCCCAGATCGTGCAGGGATCTCCATGACCTGTTTTATAATGGCGCACTGCCATCGTTAAATTATCCTCTGCCATCGTTAAATAATCCCCGCCATTGTTGAATTATCTTCTGCCATCGTCAAATGATCCCCACCGTTGTTAAACAACTGCACTATGATCAAAAGGTGATTTCAAGATTTGTTTTCGTTTTGCTAGCTGCGGCCGTTTTTGTAAGCAATTATAATCAATTGCATTTAATTGCAAAACCCTTATTGTATTATAATCCAAATTGTCCTCCTTATTACAGTTTTAAAGCCCTGAGGAATATCTGGCTACAGATCACTAATCAGGTACAGGTTGATCATAAGATAGTATCCAGAAGTAAATTTTGTAAAAAAATAAATCCAATTTTTCCTTATTTTACTTTTAAATGGACTTAGATTTTCTGCCAGGAAGCAACACATTCACTCTGTGGTTAAAGTTTTTAAAATTTAAATAACTTTCTTAAACTATCCTGGATTTGTACCAAACTTGGACAGAAGCTTGTTTATGATCAAATGGTAGTATCCAGAAGGAATTTTTGTTTTCTTCCAGTTAACATTACATTCAGTCTGCAGTTAAAGTTTTTAAACATTTAATAGGTTCATAATAAACTATCCTGGATTTTTACCAAACTTGGACAGAAGCTTCTTACAATCAAAAGACAGTATCAAGAGGAATATTTTTATTGATTTACTTCCTCATTTTTGTTGAGCCTGCGATTAACAGAAAAAGTAGGCGAGACACTGGGTTCCACGGAACCCTTACGAATTTTTAATATTTGCTGCCATAATTTGATATCAGAGACATTCCAGTAAATGTTTACGTAACAGTCATTGTCCCACCTCATAGTGCAAAATTGATTGTTTTATGACATGTACAGGTCAAGTGTTGTAGAACCCAATAGTTTATATAGCTCTATATAATCTCTATCAAGCTATAAATTAATATGTTGGAGGCGTTACCTATTTGCTGATCAATATTAATTATACATCATTCCACTTTTATGATGGAATATTGTTTGTGTTTTGGAAAACAGACCAGTCAAAATTACCATCTAAACCACAATCTTTTTTAGATGAAAATTATGCAAACCCTAGCAGAGTTTACATCTGGATTTTTGATGCGTTAGGCAAAATTGTAAAATAATTACACTTTAGACCAGCAAAAATAAGGTATAAATCAACTTTGTAAGTTTGAGTTTAAGACTTATGTGTTCTATTTTGTAATCTTTTGAGAGTTAAAATATTCATTTTGTAGGTTATTCCAAGAAAAAGTCACCAGATGATGCAGCAAAGAGAAATCTAAAGGCAGAAGCAATGCAAGAAGTTCTTCCAGGTTATGAAGAGTATTTAGTTCTACTTCAGGAAAGAAACAGGTAAATTAAATATCAGCACCAGTTTTCTTTGGGCGTTTGTGCTTTGTAAAAAAAAGAAGAAAAAAGCATGGTTTAATTTGCATTGAATAACTTATACTTCTATAAAAACCTTCATCAGGTACGCTATACACCAAAAGTTTGCATAGCCAAGATAAAATATGTTGGACAGCCATTAAAACCAAAGACCTAAACAGATCTGCAAAAATCCTCTAACATCAACTATGCCTGTTGTTATAAACCATAATTTAATTACATAAAATAATTTTATGAACTGGAAATATACAGACAAATATATGGTTTGAATCATGGGAATACTGAAGCACTAACTACTAGGCAGATGGTATTCTCAGGGGTTTTAGTTCCATCATTCAATATTTGATTGCAGCTCTTCCCCATGATGATATTAATTATTAGAGAGAAAACAAATTTTCATTTACAACTTCAGGCCTCTACAATAACTTTTTTTTCAACTTGTCCAGTAGGACAAGTACATACCAAAACTTACTTGTCCGAATGAAATTGTAACTTGTCCAAAAAAAATCTTAATAATAACCTTTTTTGCATTTTAAGTTGATTCAAGGAACAAAATGAATTAAAATAATAGAACAGAATTTGATTTATATCTTTTGAAATACTTTTCAAAAATATGAGTTGAGAACAACTGAATCTAGTCATGTCACAGGACTTAGGTTCTAGCTTTCTTCAATGCCAAAGTCTCATCAGACTCTGCACATGAGACACCGTCTGATAGGCCTGTCAATGTACACTCATTGGATTTGTATCTTGGTTTTTAAGTTGAAAAAAGTTTTTCAAATGCAATCAATGAAAAAAAGAAGATGAGGTATGATTGCCAATGAGACAACTCTCTGCAAGAGACCAAATGACACAGAAATTAACAACTATATGTCACCGTATTGCATGTATTGTTTTTTTCTACATATGATCAAATATGATTTTGTGAATTTTATGGTACATAATTTCTTCATTTTTATTTAAAAAATATTATTTGATAAAAAAATTACCGTATGATATTTATTATAAAGCAACAGAATAAGGTCGGAAAACGAGGTACTGATTTGTCTTGGTCCCGAAATGTCTTCTACATTGCCAGACTGTCTATTAATCATGTCTATTAAATATGTCTCCTACGGTGCCAAACTGTCTATTAAATTTGGAGCGGAATCATTTCCGAGCTGGTGACGAACTGTCTTGAAAAGTTACCTTATCTACAAAGCACATCGCTGATTCGGATCAGTAAGACTGGTTTCCGAGAAAAGTATGCCTTTAACCTCTTAAAAAGTACCTGACAAAAAAATCAGTTTTAAAGTATAGATTGCAAGTAAATATGTCAAATTAATACTTGTTTTTATCTTCTTTTCTTGTTTTTTGTTTATAATTACTTTGTTCATCAAAGTTGGATTAAATTTATTTTCTGCAGAATAATTTTACTTGTCCCGTCGGACAAGCTTGATATAGCTTTTACTTGTCCGACCTTTTTTTCCTCTGGTACCGGACAATCGGACAAGCGTTATTGTCGAGGCCTGAACTTGAAATGATTTAGTTACTGAATTTGAATGTCAAATGAGGTTTGATTATTTAGTCATCATGAGATATGATATATACATCAATGAGACGGCAATCCTACAACACAAAGAAAACCAAGAAATCAAGTGGTTAACAAAAGGTTTTCGGTAATAGACTTATGTCTGTACAATGTTTGTTAAAAACTAGAAAAGCCACTCATGGACAGCAAGGATTATTTTAGATTCTATATGCACTTTTTTAAGATTGCTTAAGAGACTGAGAAAGAAATCTAAGAAGCAGATTGACATTGAAAGAAAGGAACAGGGATTTTCTATCTATGTAAATGGAGCTAACACAGAGATGTTGGCTAAAAAACAGAAATCACACGCACATCAAGAAACTCCTCAAGATGACAGACCTACCTCGGGTAGACTAAAAACTGCAGGAGGTATGCAACTCAATCATGTGTGAACTTGCATTGTAGGTCTTTCAATATCAATCACTAACTAGCTGCATGAAATTTCAGCATTACAAATTTTTATTAAGTAGTAAGAGAATTGCATGGCAGTGATATAATTGTTTACAATGTTCTCCCGTAAATGTTATACCACACAAATAGTTTTAAAATATATAATACTACTGCATCATTTGAAATTTTGTTTTGTGTGGCCTTAGTTTCTGTAAATGTCATAGACTTAATTCCATAAAATGTTTAATTAGATGTTCAAATGAATGAGATGTTTATCCTGTTACATTTTATCACAATAGTAAAAACATGGTAAATCGTACACAGTTGTAAATTTTCAACAGAAATTTGTAGACTTGAGTATGTTTTATTCCATTAAGACATTTTCTGATTTTCTGATTCATACATTTATCTCTTTTCAGTTTTAAAGTGTCTTGTGTTTTGATATCTATCTCTATTTCAAGTAATTTGCTCCTAAATTCTGTCCTAATAAAATTAAAAAAATTTCATACTGCATTTGGTTAATTAATGATTTGTTCCTTTTTAGTCAAAATCAATAATAATAGCCTCCCATCAATGACATCTAAGCCATAGGTAATGCATTTTTAATGTTTTCAGATGTAAGTAACAAAAGGGTTTTGAATCTAGAAGACCTTAACGCAATATCACAGATGGAAAGACAAAAGATGGCAGAAAGAAACCGAGCTAAAACAGCCCCAGCTAGAGAGAGAAGACGAAACTGGCAGGCAGCATCTGTAGAAATAAAGACAGAGAGAGGAGAAAATAGGAGAATAAAAGCACCAGGTATAGACAAAATAGTCAGAATGGGATTTTTAGTGTTAAATTGTACTTGTTTACATAAGAAGCAATCAAATGTATCTTTTTGAGTATGGGCTGGTGAAGAAAGAGAATCATAATGGGTTTTTTTAACAGGCAACCAGGCATCTGGTAAAGAAGAGAAGTAGTTTATATTAGGATTTTTTAATACAGGATAAGAAATGAAATAAAGCCAAGAAAGAGCTGGAATTGGGTATCGGAGAGCAAGAGGATGTATTTTTTTTGTCATCATGCACAAGGTAACAGCCACCCAACAACACAAAAACAAAATGGTGTAAAGGTTAAGATATGGTCTTTAACAATAGATAAAAGAGTCAAGCTTTGTATTGCCAAATTTAATCGGGACTATCCAAGATCCTTCCGCAATACAAAATTGCCTAAATGACAAAAAAATAAGCACTGACAAGGATTATGAAAAGTGTAAGATTTTTCATTGTTTGATTCAAAGAAAATTTTAGTAGGGGAGATAACTGATAGATATATTGAAAATGTTGTATTTTACAGAAATGATAACTGGAAATTATGAGGATGATTTTGAAGATGAGGATGATGATGATGATTATGACGATTCTGATGATGAACAGCAGGTGAAGTATAACTATTATTGCTATGGTAATGGTGATGTATTTGATATCTGAAACAGTTTTATAGATTAAAATGATCTGTTCTCTGGTATAATTGTCGAGGCTAAATCAACTATCGTAATATAGAAAGAACACAACTATACTGTTTAACGTTTACTTCGTATATATTTCTGAGTGCTAAAGCTATGTACCGCACTGACAACTCTAGATACAATAGGTAAAATGTGATGTTTAAACTACCGTGGTATTCTCAACAATAATTAAGTTGTTGGTCTTCATAGATTAATGTAATATTCAATGTGGTGACAACCTAATTGATTCAAATATTTTGAATTAATATCAGAATTATGGGTGTTTTTTGATAAAATCAACTGGTTCTGGCTTAATGCAATTATAATAATTTTACCATCCAGAAAACGAAATATACAAGCCTTTTAAAAATCTTGAAAAAGATCTAAATACTATTAAATCCAGAGTACTGCAAAGTATTGCCCATGTTTATATCTTCTAAATTTATTTAATTTATTCTACCACTGCATTTCTTTCAAATAACATTTCTCCACTCACAACAGTAAAATTTCATTGAAGTATATCAAATTTACACTTTTGATTTTTTTTTTTTCAGATGAGAGCTAGTATGTCTCAGTATTTATCAGATGATGATTCGGACAGCGATATTGAGATAGATGCTTCCAGACATAACAGATTCAATAAATTTAAGTCGCCTCCAAAGAAAAACACAGCTGCAATTAACGAGGGTATAAAGAAGAAAGGAAAACCTTTAGCAAAGGAGGAAGGGAGAAATGAGAAATTAGAACTTAGTATTTCTGATGTCAAGGTACTATAATTATCAAATATACACATCAACAGTCTCTGTATTCATACCTACCAACTTTCACGATTGAGGCGTGTACTACACGATTTTGACCCTTTGTCACGATTGCACGATCGGGATCGTGAAAAAACCTCTAAAACACGATTTTGTAAAAATCTACACGAAAAATATGATTGTTCCCGATATTGAACTGTTCCCAAGGGAAGACAATCGTGATCAGCCAATCAAATTCTGTGTTTCTCATGATCAAATTAATAAGCCAATCAAAAACGTTTTCTCTTAAGATTATTCTAACATGCTAGATTTTGAACAATCATTTAATATCCTAACACAAGAAAATAAATCCTGGTCTTCTAGCTACAGATTCATCTTTTCTACTGATATATTAATAATAACTAGAATCATGCTAATAAACTTAAGAAAAAGGCTTGTAAGCTCATCATACAAATATGACATTTTTTCTAGACCACAAAACAGCACGCGCAAAATATGTCGCAAAGAATTGTTGTCGCGCACTAAAACCCCCATGGGGACTTCCAAAAGTTGGCAGGTATGTGTATTTTCAAAAAAGATTATAATATAAGACACTCAAACCTTGTTAAAATGGATATCAGTTGGCAGCAAAATACATAGCTGCATAACTGTAGCTCTTATGGGCCTTGGGGTATTTTTTTGTTAATTTGCTGTCTGCGGATTATCCAAAAATGATCTCATGTATCATAAGAGCTTAAATTCCTGCAGCTACAAAATATATGTATTAAGTTATTTCAGTTTCAAGCAATTTTGTTATTGTTTAGATAAGAGTAAATATAGTTCAGTACAAGACTCAAAAAGTGCTAATTGAATTTTTTTATTGGACAAGTCTGTTGCTCCTGTTTGTATCGGTGATCAAGAAGCTGAATAGTTATCATAGAAAGGGAAGCATGATCTTATTAAGATATCTTCTACTTTAAATTTTATCAGTCTTTGAGAAACAAATTTCTTTTTGGTACCGAGAAATGACAATTGATCAGATATTATTCCATTGTTAATTTTACAGAAACTGCGACAGAGTTTATGTATGAATGCCAGCATCAGAGAAAGTCTTGCCAAAGAAGTCAGCTCTGTAAGTTACAAAGTTTAACCTTTTCTTACATGTCTTAACACGTACATTGGACATTTTAGAGTTAAGAAACTAAGGCCAGTGTATGAAAAATAATTAAATGTTCTCTTAATATATTAAAACAATGTTTTTCAATCATCATCAATGTTATGTTATATTAATTAGAAACCCCTTTAGATACATGAATACTTAAAGTTGTAGTTGATATCAGTTGTTTTTTAAATTACAGGAAGATCTAAATATTGTCTTTATGTTTTTTAATCTGACTTGAAAATAGAGTAGCATACTTTACATTTGAAGGGTTTTGAAGAAGCAGAAATTATAGAAGAAATAGAATATTCCAGTCAGGTTATTAGTGTTTTCTTTACCTTCCATGCTATTTGTTCAGAGCATGTGTTGATGTGATTTACATGTTTTATTTAGATACATGTGGTATTTAGGAAAGTCACTATTAAAATAGAAAACAATTTATAAAAACAGTATAGGTTTATACTGAAAATGAAATTTTGTTACAACCACCAGTGCCAGGAGTTTTGAAAGTGCCTTTCTTGGGTACCTTGCATGCGTTAATAGTGTATTCCTCAGCCATTTAAATATATTAAGACAAGAGCTGAATCTTAATATAACTAAAATGCATGAATCTGTGAATGTGTGTGAATTTTAAATAAGTACTTTATAATGTCTGAATGTGAAATGAATGATATCAAGTTAAATTCTTTTCCTATTAAATTGTGTAATGTTCGTGTATTAAAATATTACTTATCATTTTTAAAAGCATGACATCAGTTAAAAATTTTGTGATTGCTTAATAGAGGCATGAGTAGAAGTGACATAACTTATCAGACATACATTTAATGAACATGTTTTGGGTGATTTGATATGTTTTACATTAAGAGTTTTACCATAAAAACACATGATATATTATTTTATGTTTGTGGATCCTACATTTAGACAAAAAGTCCTTTTGAAACTACTAATAGAAGGCTTAAACTGTATGAGTCTCTGTTCTACCTCCAATAGAGACAAAGGGAGATAAATCAATTCAAAATATTGCCTAAATAAGTTTCTTTGCTCAGTACAATGCACATCAGATAATAATGGAAAAATGAAAGCATTCTTGACCCCTAAATGCTCTAAAACACTTTGATTATGTGTAATATATTTGTTTAGTTAGCGGTACATCCAAAATTACTACCAGCAGCTTTTTAAAGAAAAAGATACCATTACAATCTATTTTTAGAAAAAGTTACATGTATCCATATAATGACCCTAAACAAGCACTAAAACCAGGTGCCCTTATTGTCACCAATACCAGTAACCAATAACATAGTTTGTACTAAAAGGGCAATTACAAGAATAATCAGCTGTCTCAGCATCTTTTATCCTCAAAGAAAATATTAATATATAATAATTGTTACAGGAAGAAGAACTATCTGACAGAGAATCTCCTATTCCTGAAGAAGATGAAGATATAATGGAGGACCTTGTTCCAGCTACAGAGAGTGTTGAGGAGAAGAAAGCACCTGTTTTCAAACCTACAGATACTATTGTACTAGAGTTAGCTTTACCTCAACAAACAAGTTAGTATATATAAACCTAGATATAATCATTCTAGAGTTAGCTGTACCTCAGCAAAGAAGTTAATATAAACTTGCCAGTATAATAGTTCCAAAGTTATGTGTATCAACAGAAACAGTTAAAAGATAAGAGGATTTAGGGTAGATGGTCTTGAGACAACATCAAACAGAACACGTAGTAAAAAATCTAAAAATTTAACTATCCAGCATAAAAAAAACTCAAAACACTGCTTATTCTAAGGAAACTATATATTGTAGAGAAAGTGCAGCATAATTTATCAGCAGCAAGGAAGAAAGATATTGATGATGACACAAATGGTTACAGACCACATCGCAAAGATCCAATCCCTTCTAGCCCTAGAGGTCAAAAGTCAAAGGTTGACAGTGTATTACAGGCCAGTAAGTATTTTTTTACTAAGGAAAATTCCTGCTAGTCCTCAAAAGTCAAAGATTGACTGTTTATTATAGGACAGATAATACATATGTATAATGAAAGGTGCTATTCTTGCTAGTCCAAGAGGTCAAATGTCAAAGGCTGACACTGTATATTTCTCAAATTTAGATGTAGAGGATCATTATTTTCAGATCCCATCCTTGTTATTTTTAGATTATATATATATTTGACAAAAATACAGGTCTAATTCCTACTGGCATGTCATTTAAAGCTGCAGTACAATTAATCTATTCTAATTGTCTATGTAAACCACATTTGATTACATTTTAAAGGAAATTTCTGTTCTAGTTTAAGTCTTAAGAAGGCTTTAAGGTATAAACATTATGGTGATGCCGTCAACAAACCAACATGGCCACATACACTAACAATATAACATACAAAGGATTTACAACAGTTCATGATGGCTGTTAGTTGAACTTTTCAGGTTCCTTTTAGTCTCACTAGTTTCCTTTCTTTAAAATTATTAGGTAAATGTATAAATGATTTGACTTTTTTTCTATAGATGTGCCCTCGAGGTCCAAACAAGAACGTCCTTTATCAGCCAACAGACGTAATCAACCTGAGAAAGTTGATACTAATGAGGAGGCTTCAGCTGTTATGGCAGCATTAAAAGCAGAGAATGAAAAAGCATCAAAATTAATTAGAAATACTCCCTCTACACCTGATAGATCTGTAAGTAGTAACTGAGAAGGTGAAAGCATCAAAGTCAGAAATACACCCCCTCCCTCCTCCACCAGATAAATTGGTAGTAGTAACTTGGAATAAGAAAAAAATTCAGAAATGGTTAGAACAGCATGTATACTGCCCAGATAAATCTTACTATGTTGCCATTTTGAGGTTTATTTTCAGTTAACTTTTGGGCTTAATAGATACAAGATTCACATAGCTATTTTTCACCTTTACTTACAATATGATGTTAGAGGAAGGCCTTATATTGTAACAAAATTTATTTTAGTTTTTATGCCGCTTAGTTTCTCACTGATATAAACTTTTTTTTGAATTGTACCCCCTTTCATAAAATTTGAGGGTACAATGAAATTTACATGTTAGTCAGTAACTTTATTTAAATATAACTCAGCTACTGTATAATGGAATGATTTGACATATTGTCTAGGCTTAATAATGCTGTGCAGTATAATTGTTTATCCGATCAGACATCAAGTTACTTCTTTTTTTTTTGTGGATAAGTTGTCTATGTTTAATAACAAGTGGGGCTATACTTTGTTTATCAAACTTATTGTTCATACTGAAATATTCTTTTGTACACAGAAACCAAGACCTTCCAGTTTGAACCCCCAGAGGAAGTCTGTGGAAGCAAGGCCAATGAGGACACCAACTAAAGACAAATCAGAAGTTAGAGATTCACGCAACGTAAGCAGATCTAAAGATGGCCCTTCTGTAAGGAAGTCTCAACAAGTTAGAGAGTCTATTCAAGGGAGAGAATCTGTAAATGTTCCACAATCACCTAGACAGGAAACAAGTGAAAGTTTCCTGAAGAATGATAAACTGACTGAGATAATGAAGAAAGTTCTACTCATGCAACCAAAGTAGGTATCTTATTGGGAATAATGTATCAAGTTCATTTAGTTATTATTAGAATTTCTAAATAGGTCAGTTTCATTTTTAAATCAAAATATTTTTCAATATATAAGGAAACCTGGGTATAAATATCTATGCTATAAATCTTTGAAAAGAGTACAATTATTTTTCAGCTACTAGTCAAAGTGATATTTTATTTCAATCATTCTGTCAACATTACATCATGTGTGCAAATTTTCCAACACTTATTACTTGGACTGAAACCAAATTTACACTCTATTTAGTCGTCATATTAAGATGTATATTACATTCGCATAAAATTGAAAAATAAGTTTTCAGAATAATTAGATTACACAAAATCTTGATAATCAGGATTTCTTTTGGTCCAATATCTCCAATGCTACTGAAATGGAATTATATAACGTTTATAAACTTAAATATAAAGGTGCTGATGTCATTTTCATGAAAATAAAAAATAATGGAGTTAAAAAACTGAAATTTTTACAAAATTCCAAGTTTGTTCTTCTTTAATTAAGGTTGGTTAACTTGTTTTGAATAACTTGGGGCCCACAGGAGACACATTCTTACCTTTATATATTTCAGACAGCAGAAGAAGTTAATGACAGTTTTAACAAAGATAGAAAGTTCAGTAGATAATGAACCCAAACAGAAACCAAACACTCCAGTAAAAGCTACAGAACCTGTCAACAACATGGTTAATAGACAGTCAAAGGTTGGTACTGCCTGACAGTCACCTGTTTGATGTTTTCTTCCTTGCATTCTGACCTTTGTTGGATAGTTGTTTCTAAAATCTAATATCTTTAACATTACTGTATGGCAGACATAGCAAGTTCAGTATGAAATAATGTAGGAGGAAAACTTCAATAGGATGTATACTATGTATGGCAATAATATTTATTTTTGAAATTTTTATTGTGGGATTACTGTCTTATTGGCATTCAATTCAAATATCTCTATTTCAGAATGTCAGATCTGGCAAGAGTCGCTCTCCAGAAGAAATGACCGAGGTTAATATAGAACTGGTATCCACATGGGGACATAAAGAACAGATAGGACTAACAGAGTTACAGTTCTTTGATAAAAACAGGAAGCTGATACCAATAAGTACCAGTAATGTTACTGTACATGGAGCTAGGGACAACAGCAATCTGGTTGATGTGTTATTTAATGGGAAAGGAAAGGTATACAATCTTATTTTTATTGATTCACTATCTCCATATTTTATTAATCATTTTCAGATATAGTGTATCTATTATTTCTGACAAAATCTGAATACTCTTTAACTTATATTTGTAAGACTCTGAACCGTGATGGTACTCCGAACCGTGATGGTCACGCTAAAGTGTGATGGTTTGACGCTGAAGTGCGTTTTTCATCACGCTGAAGTGCGATGGTGGCATTGTGACGCTATCTTGTTGATAGCTACGCCGAAGTGCGATGGTGGAAACGCTGAAGTGCGATGGTCTACACAAACTACATTTCCATTTCTTTTCATGTCGATGTAGAAGTCAATTTGTATGTTAGCAGCAGTTTTCCAGGGTTTTAAGTTGATAAGGGGCTTATACACTTTAAATACTACGAGAAACGGGGAGGGTTGGTGGCAGTCATATTTTATTAGAGGAGGAAGCCAGTCTTCCCTGGAGAGAACCAATGATTGTATATATATATGTATATCATTCTGTTCTTATTTATCTTGTCTGAATTGAAAACCTTTTGAAGGTTTTTTCAAGAATAATTAATTTCGTTTGGGGGGAGGGGAGGGGGACATCCAAAGCCACTTTTATTAGAATTTGATGTGTGGTTATTGTTTTTGTTTTTCAAAGTCTCTGTAAATTATTGTTGAAGATACCTGTCCTAAATCAGGAACCTGATGTTCAGTGGTTGTCGTTTGTTGATGTGGTTCATAAGTGTTTCTCGTTTCTCGTTTCTCGTTTTTTATATATAGATTAGACTATGGTTTTCCTGTTTGAATGGTTTTACACTAGTCATTTTTGGGGCCCTTTTTAGCATGCTGTTCGGTGTGAGCCAAGGCTCCGTGTTGAAGGCCTTACTTTGACCTATAATGGTTTACTTTTACAAATTGTGACTTGGATGCAGAGTTGTCTCATTGGCACTCATACCACATCTTCTTATATCTATTTGAAAATTTATTCTGTTTTGGAAAAATAAAAAGTGACTTAGTTACCTTTACCTAACTCCAATTTATTTAGTTTTTTTTTTAATAGGGTTACCACAGTTAGATTGTTTGTTTTTTTTTAATCCAAAATATTAAACTTAACTTCTTACAGTCCTGTGAGAAAATTTTTTATGTTAATAAACTTTACTTAGAATTTGAAAAAAGAAATAAAATGACATGATCAAAGCAAAATATTTGCCAAAGTAAATTTTGTGTTGATGTTTTGTACTGATCTGATGAATATTGATAGAATAAAACGAGTAAGGCACAATGTTAAGTGAAGTATTTGAGCTGACCTAATCAAGGGACACAAATGTAACTTTCTGAGAAGAATCAATGTTAACCTGGATTCTGATGAGAACCTGCTCTTTTATTTATATTTAAACTATTTAGTGCATACACTATAATGTAATCCCATTTATTTGGTTAACCATGATTCATCAACATTACATGAAATATAATGTGTAATTTGACTTTGTGATTTACAGACAAATAAAGATAGAAACATGTGGTGCTGTAGGTATAAGAAAGGAGTACCTGTAGAAATGTGTATTCTGTTACCTGTGTCATCACCTGAACTTTTGTCTAGGGTCAAAATATGGAACTACAATAAAAGTATGCAAGTAAGTAAGAAATGTATGCAATTACTGTAGAATAACAAATCAAAAGTTTAGACATGTAAAACCCTGTATCTTCAATGCTCATATATGTTTCTGGTTTGGATTATAAAAAATCACCATTATTTTGATAAATCTCTGTGTATACATCTTCCAATGAATTTTCAGTGATACAAACTCATATGTAGTAAGTTACTTTTCATACAATGGCCATTATGCTGAGCATATCAAGGACAAGAAAAAGTTTATAAATCAAGTCAAGGTAAATGAAATAGTGAAAAAGGATAGGAAATTTTTACTACTGCAAAAAGAAAGAATTTTTTAAATGCAAGTTAAAAACTAGGTAAAATGTTTTATCCTGTGCTTGAAACAGACTGTTGTCTAATGTGACAAATACTTACCTTGATTGACCTAGATCTACTGCCATTTTTATACGACCGCAAAAATTAAAAAATTTTTGGTCGTATATTGGTATGACGTTGGCGTCGACGGCGTCGTCCGAAGACACATTGGTTTTCGCATTCTAACTTTAGTTTAAGTGAATGGCTCTCCATGAAATTTCACCATAAGGTTCAATACCACGAAAGGAAGGTTGGGATTGATTTTGGGGGTTATGGTACCAACAGTTAAGGAATTAGGGGCCAAAAAGGGGCCAAAAATAAGCATTTTTGTAACTTCCAGACAATAACTTGTGTGTAAGTGTATGGATCTCTCTGACATTATACCACAAGGTTCCATATCACAAAGGGAAGGCTGTAATTGATTTTGGGGGTAATTGTCTCAAAATTTTAGGAATTAGGGGGCCAAAAAAGTGTCAAAAAACAAGCATTTTTCTAGTTTCATGTCAATAACTTGTGTGTAAGTGTTGGTATATTTCTGAAATTATACTACAAGGTTCCATATAACAAAGGGAAAGCTGGAATTGAGTTGAGAGGTAATTGCCCGAAATGTTTAGGAATTGGGGGCCAAAAATAAGCTTTTTCTAGTTTCCAGACAATAACTTGTGTTCAAGTGTATGGATCTCTCTGAAATTGTACTGCAAGGTACCATACCACAAAGGGAAGGCTGGGATTGATTTTGGGGGTGATGAATCATAAGGGGGTTCTAAAAATTTGGGGGGGATTTCTTTTTTTTTCTTTTTTTCCTTTTTTTTTTTTCTTTTAAAATTTTCCATTTTAAGTTGGTTATTTCTGATTTATATTTAAAAGCAAATAATAATGATATGGTAGGAGATACACACCAAACAGGATGTGTAAATTATTATATAATAAGTATTGTGCAATAGCAAGAAATTTTCAATTGCACAGTATTGCACAATAGCAAGAAATCTTCAATTGCACAGTATTGCGCAATAGCAAGAAATCTTCAATTGCACAGTATTGCGCAATAGCAAGAAATATCCAATAGCACAATATTGTGCAATAGCAAGAAATTGTCAATTGTACAGTATTGCGCAATAGCAAGAAATATTCAATTGCACAGTATTGTGCAAAAGAAGATACTTCGTATAAATTGCCTATTTCTTGATCAATTTCAATGGGGTTTATTCTTGAATTCTTGGGGTTCTTTAATATGCTGAATCTAACCGTGTATTAAGTTTTTGGATTTTGGGCCCCGTTTTTAAATTGGTCCACATTGAGGTCCAAAGGGTCCAAAATTTAACTTTGTTTGATTTCATCAAAAATTGAATTATTGGGGTTCTTTGATGTGCCGAATCTAACCGTGTATTTAGATTCTTAATTTTTGGTTCCGTTTTCAAATTGGTCTACATTAAGGTCCAAAGGGTCCAAAATTAAACTTAGTTTGATTTTAACAAAAATTGAATTTTTAGGGTTCTTTGATATGCTGAATCTAAACATGTATTTAGATTTTTGATTATTGGCCCAGTTTTCAAGTTGGTCCAAATCGGGGTCCAAAATTAAACTTTGTTTGATTTCAACAAAAATTGAATACATGGGGTTCTTTGATATGCTGAATCTAACCATGTATTTAGATTTTGATTTTTGGGCCCCGTTATCAACTTTGTCCACATTGAGGTCAAAAGGGTCCAAAATTAAACTTTGTTTGATTTCATCAAAAATTGAATTCTTGGGGTTCTTTGATATGCTGAATCTAACCATGTATTTAGATTTTGGATATTGGACCATAATAGGTGAATGTCTAATTTAAAATTTTTAAGTTTTTAGACCACATTCATTCTGTGTCAGAAACCTATGCTGTGTCAAATATTTAATCACAATCCAAATTCAGAGCTGTATCAAGCTAGAATGTTGTGTCCATACTTGCCCCAACTGTTCAGAGTTTGACCTCTGCGGTCGTATCAAGCTGCGCCCTGCGGAGCATTTTATTTTTTATTGATTTCCACAAGTATTTTTTTCATTACCGTTAAATTCGTTAAATAAGCCGCAGGTTTTTTTCTCTGTCATTGTCCCTGCGTGTTATACTCAGGTGCGCTTTATGTACGTATATTTTCAGTGTTTCAGGGCAAGTGTGAAAAAAAAATTATATCTGGATTTTTATTATGGAGAATTCAGATTGTCAAGTGCTTGCAGTGACTTGATAAATTGTTCATGTGGCATATTTTGTTATGAATAAAAATATATATACTTTATCATTTGTTCTTTATTTCATTGTTGGCTTACGAAGTTGATAACCATGAGTGTTCATTACATAAACAAAGAAAGATAACTGTGTTTGAAAGAGGTACCATACAGGATATTAATTGTGTATTTACAATAAATATGTAATGGTTTGTTGTTTTAATGTGTTTTTAAATAAAATCTCCTAAAGGAATATTAAAGGAAGTGATTGTGTTTCTTTCCAATATTTCAAGTCTCTTTTAATGACGATGGTGATAACCATGTGCTGAAATGAACCCTTTAAAGTGTTTCATAAACAAAGAAAGATAAGCGTGTTTGAAAAGAGGTACCATACAGGATATACTATTGAGGAGTAACTGCTTTTCGTTTTATTGTGTTTCAAAATGAAATATCTTCATGAAATATTGTAGCCACATATTATCGGATGTATGAAATGAAGAAAAGAATATTAATTTTCATAATTTAATATGCTAAGACATTTATATATCGCCGTCTTATTTGAATTCCCCTTTCCGTGGCCCATCTCACTTTCAGTTAAAAATAGACAATGACTTGCAGAAACTGAATGGTTTTGTTCGTAGTATTCAACCAAGTTTAAATTTAAAAATGTTTGAAGCTAATAAACTAAAACTTTTATTTTATAGACAACAATAAAATTCTTCAAATTTAATTTGATAATTTGTTTTCCCCTGACTTATGCGTGACCAGTTAACATGTGACTACAGGTATACCTGGTATTACGTAATAATCAAGGTAAACAATGGCAGTTTTATGGCTTGAGTGACCTTTAATGAATACATTTTCAAGAAAGATTAAAATCCTTGATGCCAATTGAAACAATTAACGAGCAATCAACACCAAACTAATTTTAATCAAAACAACAAGTTCAATGGACACCCACGCTGTCAACACATGGCCATTGATGACAAAAACAACTAATGAATTTGGCGTCATTAAAACAATAAGAAAAGTATAATAATTTTATTAACATTTTTTATTTTAATATGAAACAAATACATATAATCAAAATGCCTTTCAACTTTCTCAACAATCTGAAAATAGAAATGAAACATGTTACGCAGTGAGTTACAAAAGCGAGTGAACATTCATTACTCTAAGGTCAGTAGAATGCATACTACGTTTTCATTAGGGTGCGCTTTATATTCAGGTGCGTTTTATGTAAGGAAAAAAACACTTCTTCCCCCAAAAAACGGCCGTGCGCCTTATTTAGGGGTGCGTTTTATTTTCCGCAAAATACGGTATTTACAAACTATATCTTTCATATTTTGAAAACGAAATTTCTGTTAAAATTAGATTTTAAAGATTTTGTATTCAAGGTTGAGTATCAATGATAACAAACAATTTTTAGAAAAAAAGATATACATCAAGTTGTATAAAATAATTTTGGAGATCAAAAGAAGTGTCAAGCCATGTAGATCACATATGATACAAGAAGATAAATATTTGGAGAAAATGTTATTGTTATAACTATTTTGTAGGATTTAGAGATAGGTGTAAAGCATGCGAGGATATTTATTGGTGGAGAACTAGTGTTTGATGGAGTTGTTGAGAAAGGTTGTGGTAACCAGGTGTTTGATTATGGTTTTATTATTAACTTAAATGAAATGGAAGATCAGCCTTCACCTAGAAGTCCTAAACCGTCATCACCAGCTCATGTATCTCCTACGCCACCATCAAGACCTACTGATGTCTATTCAGAACCAAAGGTACAGCATCGACCTCTTCCCAAACCTCCATCTCCTGCCAGACAATCTAGGACTGAGAAGTCTGTTAAAGCCTCTAATGAAGTGTCTCAGCGTAAAGTCCGTAAGTCAACGTCACCTGTTGGACAGTCAAGAAATGAAGATGTTATAATGACTAAACCTAAACCTGTCAAAAGGAATATTTCAAATTCTCCATCTCCAGCCAGGCCTGTCAGTGGATCGTCCAATTCCTCTAATGAATCAAATCAGAAACCGTCCAGACCTCTACCACAAGTACGTAGTGAGACAAGGACAATGAACCACTCTGATAGAAGACTGCCGAAACCTGTTGTATCTGATAGACAAGGCAGTGACACTGAAGAATATCACAAAGGTTAGTACAATCTTTATCTGTATACTGGTATTTTCTATATATATAATCAGGAGTAATTTTTTTTTGTAATGATATTATATGGTATAATTATGGTAATTAGTCAATAGTTATATTATTAAAGCTACAATATTTACTTGTCCACTTTGCATTTTTGTTCTGTATATATAATATTTAGTTAACACTATTATGAGGTTTCTTATGTAGTTTTTTTTTCTTTTTTTTTCTAATATCCCAAATAAAACTATGTCTAAGTTAAGTGGTAGTTCAATTTGGACGTTTGAATATATCCATCTTATTAAGTTCTTCCCATACGTTAAATACTTTTTGACATGTCCAGAATATGTGTTCTATGGTATCTATTGCGTCTGTACAGAAAGTACAAATATTGTTTTGTATAACTTTAATTTTGTAGAGAAATTCATTTGTCCCCAAAATTCTGTGAGTGATCCTGTATTGCAGCTTCTGTAATTTTGAATTTTTAGTTATGTAAAATGGCATTCTATACACTTTATTCCAGATAATATTATGTCTATTTAAGATTGAGGACCACTTTTCCTGTGATGTGATATTTGTTGTCCCCCGTGTAACGCGTTGCGGGTGACATGTAAACACCGGTTGTCAGTCCCGTCTTGTTAGCGCTCTCACGGGTACAATTCTTACCAGATTTTTATAAAACTTATACTATAAGTTTATCTCAGCAATATCTCGGACAAGTTCTATCATGGTTGCCGATCAACTTTTTTTAAAAGAGTTATGCCTATGGAATGATTAAATTTATGGAAAATGGCCTCGTAAGTGCTCTCACAGGTACAATTCTTGCCAGATTTTATAAAACTTATACTATAGGCTAATATCAGCAATATCTTGGACAAGTTCTGTCATGGTGGCCAATAGACTTTTTTAAAAGAGTTATGACCCTTGGAAATATTAAATTTATGGAAAATGGCCTCGTTAGCGCTCTCACGGGTAGAATTCTTGCCAGATTTTTATAAAACTTATACTATAGGATAATATCAGCAATATCTCGAACAAGTTCTATCATGGTGGCTGATTGACTTTTTTTAAAAGAGTTATGCCCCTTGGAAATATAAAATATGTGCAACACGGGGGACATTGGAACTCTGTACTTTTATTGTTTCATCTTTTAAAACATTGTACATGTCTTTTGATCCTTTTGTAGATTTTAGAAATATTGTAATAGTAATTGTGTTAATTGGCCCATAAAGCTTAAAAATTTGATTACATTTATTATGAAGACTTTTCATATAAAAATTAACTGCAGAAATTACGCCCTGGTATACAAAAAAGTTGGTATCAATATTATATGTTTTTTGAAATTCTTGCCAGTTCATTAAATGTCCATCATTATCAATTAAATTATTAATTAGCCAGACTCTTTTTTCAGTCCATGTTTTGTACAGAGGGGATTGATAACCATCTAATTTTTTTTATTATTCAAAATATTAGATGTGATAAAGTCATATTCGTTCTTTACAGCTACTTTGGAGTTCTGTCCAACATGTCCAAGCATTAAAAACCTCTTGCTAAAAGGGATTTTTCACATGTGTTCTTTGACCTACATAGAGCACTTCATTTAATTTTATTTTTTCTGAATATGTCAGTAACTTACAATAATTATTATATGTATCCTTGTGTCCTCATATGGACCTCATACAAAGGATACAATTTTTATAGTATTTTTGTCAATACGCAGGAAATTCATTTGAATGGTTGATAGATTGTGTCACAAAGTTTTAGGTTTTTAGATTTCTATTTTTGGATATTTTAAAAATAACTGTGCCAGTTGTTCCCAAGGCTTGAGAAATCAACTGTACATTTGGTCCAGTAAACCATTCTTTTTAACTTGCCCAGACTCTTTTTTACAGTACATTTACACATATGATTTGGACAAAATTAAAAATTTTACTGGTCATTTGGTCTGCATATCACTTAACTGGACCAAACCAATTTTTACTGGCATTTGCCCAATGTCTGGCGACCTTGGGAATGACTGCTGTGCAATATAACTTTTCTGTCTGCCATTTTGAGTTTACCTTTTACAATATAGTTGAACACATCACTTTTTTCTGAGTGAATCAAATTAGTTAGAATATACATAATAAATATTACTAGATATTTCATGTAAAACAACAGATTTTTTTCAATCTGTTTCAGTTGTATATGAAACTGACTTTCAGAAATGTTACATGAAAAATAAGAATTGTATACAGTTTTTCCTGATTTTAGAAATTTTGGACTGTGTACAAATTTTCTTTTTATTAAACACAACCTTAATTTCTGATGTATTATGTTGCAATTTGCTATAAGTACTCAGTTATTTGTGATGTCAGAAATTTAACTTCATGGTTATAAAATTTTAAATGTGGCTTATTCTCAAACATTTTCGCCACTCCCAAACATGTTTGCCAGTGTACAGACATGTGTGAGAAAACATTTCCAATTTTTTATGAGATTTCTAAGGATGTCAATATTCTTCGCTAAAATGTGTCTAATTTTATTTGATTCCCATATATGTATGTGCATTTGAAGTTGCAGAAAAATAGTTACAGGTTCAGTTTAAGATATTGCTTAAATGTATATAATATTAGTTACACAGTGTGCTAGTGATCTAATACAATATTTACGGGGTCAGTAAATTCTATATGGGGTGAGAACTTTTAACCAATGATATTCCTAGAAATGTATAGGAGGTAAGATAATATTACATCCAGTGATTGTACAAGCGTTCTGTGTTAAATTCAGCAAGGATATTAAAATGTTGCTGCATGAATGCAAAAATATGTCAATGACAATTTGACTGTCCAAGAACTAGCTTTAAAACAATTGAGGACTAATGGATAGAGTTTAAGTCCCTTGAAAGCAATCATATAATGATTTAGGGTATTTACACATATGAGACAGTCAACTCACAATAAAAAAGATCTAAAAAGATGATCTCTTTGTCATGTATTAGTGTAAACCTGGAGGTATATGTCTTATGTCCATTTATTCTACATCCTACATCAAACTTCATTAAAGGCTATTCAGTAATAGAAAAGTGGCTGTTCCATATGTCAAGCTCTTAGATATTCCTTAATCTAGACAAGAATAGAAGTTGTTTTACTATCTGCACTAAAGTACAGTTGCATAGTGAATTAGATTAAGAGTTTTTAAAACATTTTGCAAAAGTTATACAATGAAAAGTTGTTTGAGAATTTTGAAAAGAAAGTATGCCTATGTCTGTAAATGTTGATAATATTGCTTACTGGTTGACTTTTCATAAGATTTGTCTGATAGAAAAACAAGGGACACAAGGAACAAAAAAGAAAACAATAGGCACTCTGATAATGGACTTTCTGGACCAGTGTGATAGACCATTGATAATCTCTGTTAAATTTATTCACAATTTTATACCCACATCTCATTTTATTCATATACAATAATTGATAATGCTGAGGTGAGTCCTAAAATAATACACACTTGGAAAATATCTTCTATGAATAAGCTGGAGTATACATTATTGGCTTAAATTCTAGCTAAAGCATTAGTATATAAACAGTGATAAAATGTGGAGTCAATCAAAGTCTTACTCAAAGGAAGGTAAAGTGAAACCAATCAAGGGCAGGCAATTCAAATTTGCAAGATTTATAAAAACCAGTATTGTGAATACTATTATCCTGTTGATCTGATCCTACATTATAGTTGTTAAGTTTTCTTTATTATGAAAGTTTCCAAGATATTGTTAAACAGTGGGTCAACATTATTTAGTGTATTGAATTATTATAAGGTATACATATTTGTCTTTAACATGTTTAAAGGTTTATCTAACCTCAATCTCATTTTCATGGTTCATTGGTCAACTTTCAAGTATTCAAGATAAGGTCATTCTTGGTGAGCCTGGTGATTTAAGTTGATGAACTAGGTCATAGTGATTCTACATTCCTACTTTGACAGAAGCTTTTTTTATGATCAAAAGACAGTATCCAGAGAAAAACTTTAAAACTTTTTTAAAATGTTTCTGTATTTTACTGAAAAAAAGTAATTAGTTTTGTCTCGCTTCAATATTTTCCGGCATTGGCGGTGGGGATGTCAACAAAAGAGTAGAATGTGATTTGGTAAGTTTAAAGGGAACCACTTGTGCCAGGTCAAACATAGTTTAAATGCAGTTGCATAAACATTGGCATATCTTATTCCATGGAGATTATTCATAGTTAACATGTTTTAGTTTGTAATAGGTCAGTTGAACAATGGTAGGTCAATTATATTTGGTATGCAGTTGTTTAAGCATTGCTACAGCTCATTTCCATTGGGATTATTTGACCCCTCAGTCATGGTCTATTGACCCTGAAACTTATGCATTGTTTGCATGTTAACATTTGTGACTTAAGTCAATATTTTTGGGATGCAGTTGTATTAACATGGCATTTCTCAATCCCACTGAGGTTATATGGCCCTACCCTTCAGTCATGGTTCATTGACTTTGAATGGTAAGCATAGTTTACATATTTAAGTTTTGCCATTTTAATTCCAACATTTGCAGTATACTTACTACATGTATCATGATTACACAAAGGCAAAACATAGCTCAGATACAAGTGTTAGATCAACAATAATTGGTGTTAAGAAAGATTGTAAGGTGTACATGTGTATCTGAATGAATTCATTCAACCTTGTCCACATTTTCATTGTTTGACAGTCAAAGTAAGGATTTTATGTTTAAGTAGTAAGTTCACTACACTGGATATTAAAATGCTTATAAGTTGAACATGTATGCTTGACAGGTTTCATGGTTCATTGATTAACATTAACTGTTTGTGGTTACAACAGATTCTGTATAGATAAGTTATATTGAAGTCAATTACATTTTTTGTATATTTTCATTATAAAGTGCTTATGTTTGTCTGACAGGGTTCTGACCTTGACCTCACATTCATGGTTCATTGATAATGTTGAGTTTCTGTGATATCTGTAGTAAGACTTTGCTCAGTAAATTTAGTTAA